CCTCCAGTTTGGAGCCAGTGAGATCTCTCCTTAAATCCTGTTCAACCCCCGCGCCCCCGCGCCCCCCGCCACCGAGCCCCACCACAATTCCTTCCTGCTTTTTCAGGCCCCTATGTCTTTTGTCAGTGTTGTATCCCCCAAACTTATTAGGTACCCTTCCTAGTGCCTAAGATGTGGCCTCAGCATTACCAACCAAAAGGTGTCCCTACCCACATTTTCTTCACTTCATTTCACTCCCTTCTTGTCCTTATCTATGAATTGAATTAAATCACTTAAAAATATTAATTTCCTTCCTCTGACCCTGGATTTCTTCCTCTCATCATTCCCTGTTCTCTCAGTTAAACTTTCTTTTTTTCCCCCTCCCCTTCTTTTTTGTTACTAAAGTTAAACTGCTATTTATTAACTTATAATGAAAAATGTACTTTTATGTGAGCTGAAATATACGTGTACTTAGAAAAAAACACATCCCACTCCCTCTAGATGGCAGAACACTTAGAAGGTTGTCTGGAAAGCTCCAGTTTAGGAAGTAAAGGTCAGGTGTTGGCCTACTTCTTGCCAGTCTAACTTATATCTGCAGCTGCTTCACTTTTCCATTCATACTTTCCACCATTGTATCTAGATTTCAACTTTCCTTCTCCTGAAACTGTTTTCACTGGGATTATGAAGTGGTTCGTAGCTGAAAATTGTGGTGGAAATACTTTGGACCTTGGTGTCCTGGATTTTTTGAACACCTCTTACCATCACCTCTTTTCTGATTTGTTTTCCATAACACTCCTCCTCCTTTTGCCTCCTCTGGGCTTTCCCAGCCCATATTCGCAGATTCTTTCTTAGTCAGTCCCCCTAGTTCTGCAACCTCCTCACAGTGTTCCTCAACCTTCTGCCATTGGCCCCTTTCCAGATACCTCTTGTTCATCCATCTCCTCACACTTTCTACATCATCCTCGTTAGAACTCACTTGACATTCTAAGAAACACTTCTTGCATTTGCTTTGAGAAACAGCAGGTGTGGGCCTCTCCGAGGGGAGAGGGTCTTCAGAAAGACCCTTATTGAAGGTCACTGAGGGAAAATGTGTGAGACACTAGTGGTAGGTACTGAGAGCTGGGGCTGAGTCCCAAGCCTTCCTTTCAAACAGACTCCTCCCACAGGGCTCCTGCCATGTAAGGCATGAAATGGACCACCAGATTTGTTAAAGAATATTTGCTTACCAGATAGCAAGAGAACTACTGAAATAACTTGACCAAGAAGTCCAAGCATGAAGACAGAGGGATTAACAGGCATTACTAAATAAAAGGAAATAAAAGGACCTGAGGCTAAGTTAGGCTGAAGATGCTATGAAGTTTGGAAACATCTCCTGCCCCCTGCACCAAATACTCCTTAGTTTGCATTGTTTCTGTACCTTGGAAAAGTCTTCTATCATGACACATATTGCACACTATAACTTATTTTTAAAAACCTGTCCCCTGTATTGTACACTGAGCCAGAGCACAGGACCTGTCTTAGTCTACTTTGTTGCTCTGGCACTAGCCCAGAACAAAACTTAGTAGGGTCAGGAAACTTGCTCGGCACCTCCTGCTCGGTAAGCAAGCTTGACATCTGTGTGCAACGCTAATCTCTGACCTCAGAGCATCAAAGCTTGGCTTGTGTCATGTCCTCTGTTAGTTACAAATGTTTTATATATGACTTTTTAGGTACCAGTAATATGTTTGCACAGATCAAGTTAAAGCTATGGTATTTTTAAAATGTTATGAAATTTTATATTGTTCTAATGGTGATGAATACTACTACAAAGACCAAAGAAGTTTTAACAAATGGTATTCATTAACAAAATATATGAAATATTCTGATTATCAGCTCTTAGAGGGCAGGGAGTGTGTTAGCTAATTAACTTATAAATGTACGTTGGGCAGTAAACTTAAGGATACACAGTTACCAGAAGAATCAAGAAAACACTATATACTGCTTTTTAATAAATGCAGTAGTATTTGTCTTATTTTTGTAGTTTTAAAGCACTAATTTTGTAGTTAGCTTCACATTCTCCTGCTGTCATTTGATAAAACTAAAAAGTCAAGTTGTTCAGCAAGATGAGCTCAGGATTAATTTTCACTCACACAAAAAAGATCTTTCTAGTTGCTCACAAACAGTATCTTATAAATGGGAACATATCTTTCAGAGTACAACTGCTGGATATATAACGCTTATTTTATTCCAGTATTGTGGCTTTCCAGTAGCAATGATGTGGAGTATTTGTGAATTGGGTCACAATGTCAAATGCTAACAGAGCCTGTGAAATTTGACTATCTCTAACACCTTAAATTAAATGCTAATGGGCATAGCCATACGGCCTGGTTTTCTGAATTCCTCTCCACTTGTCTTACTTAAAACCATCCACAGGCTTCAAGGTTTCCTGACCCCAGAATGAACAGAAAGGGGAAAGGAAACGGGGGCAGTGAGCAGACAGGAAATGCCTCTAAAGAATCATTCATTTTGTGTTCTATGAAACAGAATAAGCCCCTAACACCCACATTCTACAATCTCTACTGCCATATCAGAAGGATGCCAATGATCCTAACCCCCATCAATTAAATAGGAAATAGTTGATTATTTGGTAACAGATAAGGAATAGCCTCAAACATTTTCAACTACCCCAATAAATCAGGGTAACACTGCTAAATCAATGAGAGTATGGGTAAAATATATCTGTCTTTTTTTTTTTTTTAAGGGAACCATTAGCAAATCTAGTCCCCCCACCGTCACCCATCCATGGTTAGATTCACAATTGATTTATTATAAGCCAGGCCTGAGGAAAGAGGCAGACGGCTAAAGGTATTAGAAATGTCACTGGTGATTTCCTCTTCTTTCCAATTAAAGGTATTGTGCTGTATATAGGGAAGTGAATTTTTCATCTCAAGTACACAGTAGGGAGAAACAAACCTGAGAAAATTGTGATTGTTTTCATTAAGTATGGTTAACCACAGACAGCATATATTAGTGCAAAAGAACAAAGAAAATGTATTTCCTTTCATAGTAGGAAAAAGAACAGTGATACAGTTGTAAGATCTATAATAAGTTGATACATCTAATAAAATGAAAAAGGAAACAAACAGACCCAGTTGGAAAGAGAAGTCAGCTTAATATTAGGAAGCCAGTCTAAGATGGACTCCTGTGCTTTCTAAGTTCTCACTAGAGGAGGGAATAAGGAGTTCTAGCTAAGATTATGTAAGGGAAATGCCAACATTTAAAAGAAGCAAGTTTTATAGCCAAAAAATAACAAGTGCTTATTAAAATATTTGTGAGAAATTCATACAAAAATTTTAAAATGCATTGCCAAATTTAGGAATGCAGTACATTGACAATGTATGAGAACTAAATGAGTCAATGGAGTGGATGTAAGTTGGAAGAAACTATGAATTTCATTGATTTCATAAATCCATCAGTGTTTTGTTATCTATGTCAAGTACAGATACATGCTTTTTATTAACAAAGACTTATAGGTCGCCAAGTCTGAAGTTTCTTCAGGAAAGCTAACAAAGTGTAATCCGATTGGTTATTTTCTTAACTATCAATACATATACCTTGAGAAAAGCATATAAGTAAACAGGTAAATGCTTTCATTTAAATGTCTACATATTCTAACATACATACTCAGCAAACATTTATTTGTTATATGTAATATAACACTGATTATTGGGTCCTTTTCATTTACAACCTTCCTCAGTGCTAATCTTCACTTCATTAATTATCAAGCACGTAAATCCTGACATGATCCAGGTTTCTTCAATGAAAATCAATTAATTGCAAATAAAAGAAACTTAGATAGTGGATGTCTCATTGTGGCTGTTCTCTGGCTATCAAGAAGAGTAAAAGGAAAAATAGAGTTCAAATAAATTTAGTTTAAATACACAAAGAGTTTGGTCACAGCAGATTTAACCAATTAGAGAAGATTATTGAAGGGAACTAAGAAGTCTTTGTAGATGTACTTAGTGATTGTTTCTTCTAAGTACAAACATCTCAAAACTATTCTTAGTATTAATTTGATTTTTCTATTCCCCTTTACCCTTGACAAAGAAATTCAACAAGTTCCATTTGAGTTACCAAATAAGTATGAGTAACCCCCAACTGAGAAACATTGCAACTTTCTTCTTCCCCATAGGCAAATCTTTCAAATTTGTTTAATAATAGGAATGGGTCTGTTTAATAATAGGAATGAAAACACATCAATAATGTACTGATGATATCTAGTGCCTCACAAATTCTGCATAAAGGAAACAGCAGCCACGAAGGTTGTGAAGGAGGATGTAGGTGTATATGAAACAAGACTCTCATGAGTGGATGACTGGGAATGTGGGGTTCTTTATATTTGTCTCCTTTGTTCATAACCAAATGGCTTAAAAATTAGATTAAAATAATAAGCACCCCAAAATAATGTTAAGAATGGAAAGATAAAAAGGAATGAAAAGTTAGGATGGCATGAGTAAATACAATTTACAAATAATACAAAAAACAGTATTAATGGGTAATAAATCCCTCCCCCTCAATGCAGAGCAGGGCACTTACCTGAACATGTTTCCCATTGTTATAACCATCAAAATAGACTTACTGGACATTTACTTCACATACCCTGACTTTGACGAAATGAATTCTAGTCAGGCAGCCAGGGTGAAAGAAAAAGCAAAGGACCTGGATAAATCATATTGTACAATATAAACCCATGAACAGCAAAAGCTGACCATCTAAGCAACAGGTTTGGTAGGAAAAGATGTATGATGGGTATTCACTTCCACTTTGAATCCTTCCTCCACTAATCACTCAAAGAGATCAATTATTTCCAATAACACTCTTCTTCTCCGTAGAGTTAAGGGCTTAATACATGTTAATTAGCTAGAAGTCATCCTTGGCTCTATCATTCAATTATACGCGGCCACAACTACCGAGGCTTGACTTTTAAATTTATGTCACGGTGCAAGTGCTTTGTTAAAGACAACCTATGAGGCATAGTCTACCTGATATCCAAAGAAGACCATCAGCCACATATCCAGCATGACATGAAAGGGATCGGTCAAAGGACTGCACAAAAGTCCACTTGTTCTTCTTGGGGCAGTATCTTTCAACAGTAGGTAGAACCTGGCGCAGCTCATTTCTGCCCCCCACGGCGTAGAGGTATTCATCCATGGCACCTAGCACAAAATGTTCCCGGCAGTTTTTCATGGGAGCTATCTCTGCCCAGGAATTACTGCGGGGGTCATAGCGACAGGCAGTCCTCACAGCACACGTCCGGCCACTGGCGTGCTCAACTTCCCCTCCTGCTACAAACAGGAAGTCCCCCATGACGGCCACACAGTGGTGGCTCCTGCCCACGGGCATTGGAGCCAGTTCACTCCAGTTAGCAATGGCGGCTATGAGGGCGTTGTCCTGATCAACAGGGTTGAAGTATCGCAGTTCCTTGACTTTACAGACCTCTCGCTTTTTCCCACCAATGATGTACAGAGTGTCCGACTGGAAGCGCGGTTTGGTCCTTCGCGTCTGCCAGACCGGCTGGGCGTAGATGCTCTGGTGGTATTCCAGAGCCTCGTTGACCAGGGCTGTCGCCCTCTCACTAGCCTGAACAAGAGGGTGGGACAGGGCCACCGTATGCAGAGTGTCCACATCCATTAGGCCGAAGCGAATGTACTGTAGGAGCTCGTCCATGTACTGGTAATGGCAGTTATGTTCCAACCACCTCACAGCTAGCTGAAACAGAGGGAGGTGAGGTAGTAAGAGAGAATAATACAAAGGTGAGATAATACAAGGTAAGCTAGAGAGAGAACACTGTGGCATATCGGCAGATCAACGGGGAATCTTTCAGACATGCAATGGTACACTTTTTCCTTGCAAACTGAAATATTTTGATACCCAGTTGATGAATTCTTTTCTGAGATCCAAAAGAACTCTTTGTGGGATTTCGGAGAAACATGAGCAACACGCACTAGTGGGTAAGGTATCAGCTGGGGGTGAACAACACTCGGGTTTCAAAGAATGAAAATACTGTTGTGTAAGTCTGTTCTTTCTTTATGCTCAGGCATGAGAAGAGTAGTACAGCCCGTCTTTAGGAAATGCCAACAGAGAGCAGTGTCATCACAAGTCAAGGTGCTGTATCAATACAGTTATACAGGGAAATATGTGGTCATCTGAGATCCCAGAGTGGACTTGAGAAAAAAAGTCAACATACTACTAGTAGAGTGATTTAAGAAGTACATGGACTTTCCCTCCTTCCCCTTTGTAGGTACATAAGTAAGGATGCAAAGAAGAAAGATTGCAACCAACACATTTTTGTTTATTAGCTTTTGTCTTGAAGATAGTTGTTGTTTACACTTGCATACTAGTAATTTACTGGGTGAATTTTCTCAAAAATAAGATGTAGAGATTATTATTGTACTATGGACACAATAGCAGGATGTAATTTAGAAGCTTTTTGGTAATTCTAGATCTCTTCAGGAAGGAAAAGAGAACTTTTGGCTCAGGCAAACATATTTTCTTAAAACTGAATCAGGTGTATTAAGACATAAATAATAAAACTGACCTATAACTTAGAAAATACCATCAACAAAAACCCAATTCATATTAGGGAACACTTGAAGTAATTTAATTAATTTGATATAATATTTAAGTTTGGCAAGCTTTTTCACACACCAATATAGTAACAACAGCTAATATTTTCATGAATGTGTGAATTTTTCTTAGAAGAACCTACACTAAACTAGATCTTCTAGAAAACATAAATGTGGATGTAAAGGAGTTATCGTGAAAAAGTAAAGTAATTAATTAGACTCTTGAATCATTTTGTATATTACATGCTTTTGACCAATGGAATTGGAGTTCAGGGCTTCCCTTACAGCAGACACAAATAACTGGGGAAGAGGCTCTAGAGAAAGGAAATATAGCACTCTTAAACCATCCTCACACACATGAACTAGGTTTTCTTATGGTGAAGGAAATCACTAACTTCCTGGGCATTAGATGATTTTTGACTTTGAGGGTTTCTGTATCAATTTGACAAATGGCTCTAAAAGACAAGTCATAATTGGAGCTTATTTTTTAGTTTCTGAAGGAATAGAAGATAGAAAGTGAATTCCCCTCTAATATGTATCGAATTGCATCTCTTAATGAATAATGTAGTGAAGAGAAATGAAAAAAGAATGCCATTGACTGGATACCAATGCCAAGTAGGCAGATACCATTGAGAGCAGATGACTGACAGACACTCTCACTGTTTTTCTAGAAACCAGAATTAAAAAAAAAAAATTAAGTAAAGACAAAAACCTGATGGGAAAAATATCTGTGTATGGTAACATTAGCAAAAATCAAAGATACTGCAGAAGAAAAGCTTACTTCATCAATCATCAGGACTCTGCTAGAGGTAGAGAGAGCTCCCACCAGCAACATCTTGTTTTTCTTTACCCTAATTTTAGAATTTTCTTGGGATAGGGTTCCAATTATTTCCCTGGAGAGATAATTCAACAACTTAATAAATGATTTCCCATTCTTTGCGCACGGAGCTTTTAAAAGTTCCCAGAGATAAAGTCATCACACTCAAGGTCATTTCTCATGCACCAGTAAAATTTTCTGAAACTTAATCTTCGATACTGCTCCTAATTTAATTGAGAAATTCCAGCTGATATTGCTTTGCTCTCCAATAAATTTCTCAGCATCCTTATATCCCACTATGTCTGCATCTTTTGGATGGCTAATATAGGAAACACTGAAGAAAAGGTAGATAAATATCCATGTCTCCATCACTTCTTTTTATGGCACAATGTTGCCCATGCAATTATATATCTCTTTCCTCATAACTCAGTTTTTCTTATGCCATAATCAATCTTCTAGTCCATCTCTGAGCACTCTTTGGTTTATCTTCATCTTTCTAACTAATAGTATCACTTACTGTGTGAAAGGTACACAAGCCACAACTAGACTATACTTTTAAGAGATTCTATAATGAATCAAACTGGCAGTGGAACAGTGACCAGTGTGTTCTATTACTGAACTCTGCCTTTCTGTCTACTCTCACACCTATGTCACATGCATTATGACATTTTCCATGCTCAATTTACCCCATACTCGATAATACAGAATACTTTGTGCACCTACACATTTTTTTTTTTGAATTTTCTGGGATCATTTTCTCTTATTGCCTTTATTTCTAACTTCTCACAGATTTCTTATCATTTTCACACTTTTGTCATTTTAAATATTTATGGACTACACAAGTCATTCATACTTGTTGAACTTCTCTTTTCTCTCGATCGAAGATAAAAATAATTTACACTTAACTTTTATGCCATCAATTTTAAACCAATTTCACCTAGATATAGTGTCATCTATAAGTCCAGTGCTTCTCAAACTTAACATATACATATATTATATGGAGTTTCTGGTCAAAATGGAGAGTCTCATTTAATAGGTGGGAGGAGGATTAAGAGTCTGTATTTCTAACAATCTTCCAGTTAATGTATGTGCTACTGATCCATGGGCTACCCTCGGAATAGGAAGGATATCAGACAGATTTCCATTCAAAAAACAATAAACTGCCACCTTATTAAAGTAAATTAAATCTGTTGCTTCAAATTGAAGAAACATTAATCAAATAAATGCTTTAGTAAAGATATAGGGCACAAAGTAGTTTTAAAAATTGTGGGTAAGGTAGCCTATTTCTTATATAGTAAAATATGGCTAAGAGCATGTTTGAAATCTTGGTATAGACCCTCTAGGGTATGTAAATCAACAGCTGACTCTGGTGGCATAAAATAATACATGTAAGAACTCTGCAGCTTTGTTTTTACAAAATGAATAAATGAATGAGAAAATGTAAAAGCACAGTACTCTGCTTTTTCTTCATGAAAATTTAAAAGAGAAAAGTCACTGAAACCAGGGGCAACTTTTGTTTATACAATTAACAAAAGACATGCAAAAAAAATTCAAAACTGAGGGCTATCTCAAGATCACTTCTATAATATGAATCTCATCAGAGCACTGTTCACTTGGAAGAAATCTTGGAGCTTATTTATGGGGCTTACAGACTACTAAGCAGAAGGCTGATTCCCCATAGGGACATCATGGCACCCAAGAACCACAGTTAGTTATATGGCATGTTTTTTGTTCTCACATTTGAAAGCAGTTATTCTAGAAACTGGTGGATTCTAAAATAGTAATGCTACACTAAGAAGGAAAGCTTGGAGTTGGTACTGAAATTCTATTATATATTATTTATTTTTGCATACCTTCATTATCATCCCCTAAGCTCTAGCATATTTTAATTGGGGAGAAAATGGTGAAAATTATTACTCTCATTCTTGTGGTGACAAAACCAGACAAAATGGAAAAGAAATTAAAGATTCAATTTGAGTAGGAACAACAAAAATAACTTAGGAAATATGACCATTCAGGTAAGAGGCTCCCTAAGCCATCTGAAATATTGCAGACTGTGATCTCCAAAGACCACAGGAGATCTCCCAAGCACCCTGAGTGATTCAGTCAAGTTAATTTTACCTTCATGAAGAATTGTTCCTTTTTAGAAGGAATATTTGCTACAGCTTATTCCAGTTCATCTCATTGTCACATATCTCTTTGATAACAACAGTACCTGGCACAAGGTAGGCTACCAATATTTGTTGCATAAACAGAAAGTATTTTATAGCTGTTTTTAGACAGTCATATTTCACTTGAACAGAAATATTAATTACTTCATAAATTTATTCAGACTTTAGTTCCCTATTTTCTGATCTTTAGGCCTTCATAGACAGCCTTAGAAGCTCTCCAAACTCCACACTGCAGGCTGCACTGTATTGAACTTAAATGTATAAGGCCTTGTTTTAGACCCTTACATTATTGGTGCTGGACACCTCTATTTGAGATTCTTGGCAATACAATGAACATTTTGGGCCTTTGAGTCCTCAAATAACAAAATATAGAGCAAAAAGAAATACTGGAGTTCATTTGATTCAAGCTTCACAATTTTATAAATAGAAATCAAATCCAGAAAATTTGTCTTACCACAAGTCATGTAATTAGTGGAAAAGCTAGAATTAGAACCCCAGCTTTTTAATTATACAATGTTTATCTATTATATCATATTATCTTTTCATCAATAATGATTTTTAGGTAGAATACAGACCAATGTGCCTGAGATCAAATATAACTTCCACATTCTATAAGTCAGAAAATTAAGTTTTTTTTTTAAGTATGCTTTGTTTCAAGATAGTTTGACAGTATCTTTCAGTGAGTCTCATTAATGGATTATTTCAACATAAAATCATATGTAATAGTACAAATTAAAGACATATTTTAAAACAAGTACTTAGAAGAAATGACATCCTTTGTGTTTAAAATTATTGTTTCATTTTTCATGAGTATACACACGTCTATATATATGTATATGTATATATTGGTAATTCTACAATCTGAATGTATATTTAATTCTTGATCATGTTAGCTTGTTAAGTAAACCTGACCAAAATATATATATATAAAGATAATTATTTCTCTTTCATTTCCTCAGGGTATTCCCATGGATTGCTATACTATGGAGTAGAACCAATAGTAAATGTGATGATAATATGAGTATATAATCTGGGTTTCTAAAAAGTTTGTTCTAATACAGTTAAAATATATAATTTACTCATATATATACACATATACACACATATTAGCAATATATCAACTACAAGAACAATTGTCACATTCCTAACAAGTTT